GAACGACTTGAAGGAGAGATGAACCAAATTAAGACCACGGTAGAGGACATAATTTCCTCCATGGAAGCGCAAGTAGCTGACTAACGGGACATGATGAAGAAGATGTTAGAATTCCACAATCAAATGACGGCTTCAGAGGCGAGAGGGTCAGAAGGAAAGAATATGAATTCTGAAATTCGTAAGGATGAAGATGAGGTGGAGATCGTAGAGGGAGAAAGAGAAGACCCCATATGGAGCCTTTCCAGAGGGAGTTATAGGGAAAGGCATGGATATGGGGGGAAGGAGCAAAGGGGTGCTGAATGGGAATGCAGGGAGGGATATTATGACTGCCGAGATGTTGATTTTGAAGGAAGGAGAGGGGATATCAAAGGAGGTTTTGAGTATGAAAGGGCAAGGGAAGATCGAGGGACTTAGGGAGGGCTAAGCACTTGGGAAAGGGGAAACTATGGAGGAATAAGGGGAAATGGAGGAGATCAGAAGATGAGGAAGCTGAAGATGCTCATTTTCGAAGGGGAGGACACACATGGGTGGATCTATAAGGTGGAGAGGTACTTCACCATCAATGGGTTGACGAAGGAGGAGAAGTTGATAGCAGCATGCTTATGTTTGGAGGGGAAGGCATTGTCATGGTACCAATGGAGGGACCAGAGGAGACCATTACGGAGCTGGAGAGAGTTTAAGGATTGTTTAATAGAACATTGTCAAACCGGCACTGGAGGAGACTTCTATGAGCAATTCTTTGCACTAGTGTAAGACAGATTAGTGGAAAACTACCGAGAGATATTTGAGCATCTGTCCAATCAAGTGGAGCGATTTTCAGAGATGACATTGGAGGGGAACTTCCTGAAGTTTCTGTGAAGGGCATGAGGCCTCATGACTTGGGAGAGGCTATGGAGTTGGCACAGCTGGCGGACAATTAGAGGTATCATGAGAGGAGAGCTAGGAGCAGCAATTCAGGAGGCTCTTACAGGATGACGATCACTCTTTTAGCACCCAAGGGGCATGCATCAGGCAACATTAATGAGACTCCCAGGGAGAATCCAACATGAGGAAGTGGGGGGGGGAGGGGAACTTTAAAAGACTAACAGAGAGGGAGATGCAGGAGAAGAGGGCGAAGGGACTATGCTTCAGATGTGATGAGAAGTATACTCCTGGGCACAAGTGTAGGGATCAAACTCTGCAGGTTCTCACCATCTGTGATGATGAGAAAATTGAGGAGGGAGGTGAGAGAATAGGAGAGAGAGAGATGGATGACAATCTGTATTTGGACGTGATGGAGGTCTCCTTGAATTTCATGGTGGGATTCTCTCCGAATCATATCATGAAGATGAAGGGAGAAATAACAGACATGGAGGTGGTGGTGTTGATTGACAGTGGGGCTACCATAATTTCAACTCCAACCAGATTTTCAACCAATTGAGGGGTGACATTGGTGGATACAGGGTGTTATAGAGTGATGATTGGTACAAAGAAGGTGGAGACGGGTCAGGGGGATATGTAGGGGAGAAGTGTTGACCATATAGGGGGTTCATGTGAGGGATAATTTTCTCCCATTAGAGTTAGGGAGCACTGATATCATCTTGAGAATGAAGTGGCTACAGACCTTGGGGGACACCAAGGTTAACTGGGGAGCATTGATAATGGAGATGATTGTGGGTGTGAGAAGGGTAGTGATCAGGCCTGGGAGATACATTGCTCACCAAAGCCATGATATAACTTAAAACCAATGTGATGAGCATACAAGAGGTGGGGGAAGGTTATATGATGGAACTACATAGGCTGAAGATGTTAGATTGAAGGAGGGCGGGGACAATCCTCTTTTAGTACAACCATTGATTCGGCAGTTCAGTGAGGTTTCTCAACCGCCTCAAGGGTTGCCTCCTTTGGGGAGGTGGATGAGCTTGCTATCATCTTCATGGATGTAGTTTCACCTATGAGTTTTTATCCGTATCGTCATCCTTAAATCTAGAAGGATGAGATCGAGAGATTGATTAGGTAGATATTGGAGGAAGGGATCGTTCGACCCAGTGTCAGTCCATTTTTTAGTCCAGTGCTATTAGTCAAGTGCTTCAATATCGTTTCGTTCGTTCCACCTTGAGGACAATGTGACACTTTGGGAGGGGAGTATTGTGGACCCGTCCATATGGGATCGGCTCACGAAACAGAGGCGGAACCCTCTTCCCCCTTCGTGATCCGACCGTCTAGACATAGCATTTTAGGAAAGTTTTTGAAGAGAGTTAGTAGAGAAATTTGAATGTATGGATTGTTTAGAGATTTCCTTTTGAATTCTATGCATTAAATAGTTTGTTTTCCTAGGGTTAGGGTTTCTTGAATTTGGCTAAAATTTGAGATCTCATAGTTTTTTTTGGGCTCTAGCGGCGTCTAGAGATTTGGGAGAGATTGATCCTCTCGAATAATTGATATCTTGTTATTTTCTTCCGTATTTTGTTTTCTTGCAATAAAATTACTATTTTTCACTGGTTTTCCATTGGAATCGTGGAAATTTCTCATTATTTTTACTCTCTTGATAGGATTTACTTGAAATCTTGAAGTGTTTCCGATCAAATAGTTTGAAGGATAATGTTGTAGAAATTAATAAAATTAGATATGTAATTATAACTTTAAAGATTATTGTTGATACTAAAATTATTAATATTATTAGTACTTATGCTCCTCAAATAGGTTTGGATATGTGTTCAAAATTAAAATTTTGAAATAACTTAGAAGAATTAATATAAAATATACATTTTGAAATAATAGTTTTTATTGAAGGAAATTTAAATGGATTTGTTGGTAGAGATCTTAGATGATTTTAAAAGCATTCATGATGGCTATGAGTTTAGAGCGACTAATGAAGGTGGTAAGACCATATTAGATTTTGCCCTAGCTTATGATTTTGTAATTTAATACCTTATTTAAGAAAAAAGATGAGCTTCTCTTCATTTAAGAGAATGAATATAATAAAACTCAAATTGATTATTTTTTTATAAGTAAAATACATCGTTTAGATTGCAAAGATTATAATGTTATTTCAAGTGAAAGTTTATGCACTCGACATCGCTTATTACTTTTGGACTTTAAGATGAAGGAGCAGAATATACAAAATAAAGTAAAACGTTGTTTTAGGATTAGATGGGGGCATTTAAAAAAAACTAATAAAAATACTTTTGGGAATAAGATTCAAGATCTTAAGGTTTATTCTATACATGAGAAAGCTAATGTTATATAGGAAATAATAATTAGTGATATTAAGAATGTTGCAAAGGATGTGCTTGGAGTATTAAAAAAAAAACTCATAATAGTAAAAAATAGTTGGCGATGGAATCAAAACATGCAGGAAAAGATTAAAAAAAAAAGAAATTTTGTTATAAAAATGGATTTAAATGTAAAAACTCTAAAAATCGATAAAAATATAGAGGTCCATAAGGAGTTTAAAAAAGCATTATGCGATGCAATGAATTTAGCTTTCAATGATTTATATAGTAGATTAAATACTAATAAATGTGAAAAATATATGTATAAGTTAGCCAAACAAAATGATAGGATAAGTCATAATTTAGTAAGTGAAGTGCATTAAGGATGAAGAGAAAAAATACTTTTATTATTAGAAGAGGATATTCAACATAGGTGGATATGATAGTTTGATAAGCTTTTCAATGAAAAGAATACGATTGACTTTAGTATCCTAAATGAAACAAGAGATTTTTATTTTTATCGAAGTATTAGTAAAATCAAAATTATAGATACTTCAAATAAAATGAAGTGTGGAAAAGTTGTTGGACCTAATGATATTCCAATAGATGTGTGAAAATGTTTAGGAGATGAAGGAATTTCTTAGCTTATGAAATTTTTCAATATTATTTTGAAGATAAAGGATGTCAGATAAGTGGAGGAGTGTGTTAATTCTTATTTATAAGAATAAAGATGATGCACAATAGTGTGCAAATTATAGAACAATTAACTTAATGTGTCATACTCTAAGACTATGAGAGAGAGTTTTGAGCATAGGTTATGAAGTGATAGTAATGTTTCTTAAAATCAATTTGGATTTATGCCATATAGGTTTACTATGGAAGCTAGAAATTTATTGAGATATTTGATGGAGAAATATAGATAGAATAAGGAGGGTCTATATATGATATTTATTGATTTAGAGAAAAAATATAATAAAGTTCCAAGAAAAGTGTTATGGAGAGTACTAAAAAAGAAAGGGGTTAGTAATGCTTATAATTAAGTCATTAAGGATATGTATGCAGGAGCTGTTAGTTGTGTTCAGACACAAGGTGCTTTGACCAAATATTTTCCTATTTCAGTTGGTTTACATCAAGGATCAACCTAGGGAACAATTATTACGTCAAATCGCTCCAAAAAACGAGAAATACCGAGCAATACCAAACAATAACGAGGAATATCATCACTTGAAGACCCAATACCGAGTTATACCGAGCTATGCCGAGCAATACCTAGTTATACGAAAGTTGTACCGAGTTTTTCCTAGAAAAAACTCGGTACAACTCGGTATTGCTTGGCATAGCTAGGTATAACTCGATATTGATCTTCACAGAGCGGTATTCCTCGTTATTATCAAATAATACCTAGTAATACCGAGCAAATACCGAGTTTTTTGGCGGGATTTTTCCTCCGATCTGACGTTCATCTACGTCCTTACACCGGACCTAATAAAAGTTCCAACCTAGGGGTGTCAATATTGGATACGACCCAAAAACCCAACTCAAACCCGACATGAAAATTTCGGGTTTGGGTCAACCCAAACCGAAACGGGTCGGATTCGGGTCTTGATTTTCAACCCAAACCCAAAATTGACACCCCTAGCTTATTCAACTTTGATAACTCAATCTTTTATTCTTACAGTTTTGTAATAGTTCCAACACCGATTTTTGAATGTATTAATAAACTTCGTGTGCCCTGCATGTGTGTTTTTCTAGCTAGTTAGCCTGAAAAAGAGACTGACAGAAAAATCATAGTATAATACATTGTCCTTGAGAAATATTTCATGTCTGATATCCTTACGATTTACAGTGAAGTTTGAAGATGCAGGGAGATCTATCAAAGCCACCTCCACTTCTCTCCACAACTATTTAATACACATTCATTATTCATATAAGATTTAAGTACTTAACGGTTCTCATGACATATAGGAGAAACCCTGCAGCAGACTTATAATTAGGTGGATAATTATATCTATTTGTAATGGATTAAGGCTTTAATTAATCAACAAGCTACGTGCTGTAGTTAACAAGGGACCTGTAGGTCATCCCCGGCTGCCACTCTGCCGGAATCACATTGTCTGCCATCAAAATCTTCCCAGTCGACAATGAGGTTAGCTGGAAAGAGAACGGGGCTTTCAGCGCCGAGCCCGAGTTCAGTCTCCAGACGGCTCCCCATGACTGCTGCATGGGGAGCCAGCTGTCGCTGCTGGTGCCCGCCGGCTTCAGATCTACGCCGGCGAGGTCGCCATCGCCGTCCTCGTACTCGATGAGCACTGCCAAGTAATTTGGGTTTGATCCGGCGTCCACGTGGAAGGCGACGTCGAAGCCTGGGTAGTTGCATTCAACCCTGCAAAAGGTTCTCAAATCTTAAGGAACACTGATAAGTTAGTCTTTCCATCCTTGCTGCAAGAAAAACAATTTAGGGATAAAATTATGATTATTTGTTCTTCTTTTCTTGATCTCTGGCAGTGAGTTTTGTGTGAATGGGGGACATAAATTATATAAGAAATTTTATTAAAATTCTATATATAAGGGGAAAAAAAATGCATTAAGATGGCTGTGGATGTTGAAAGGTGGCTATAAGTGAGGAAGATGAGGTCATGGCCTATGACTCTTTCTTTCATTTGGAATCAGTTAAGTGCACTGATTTGCCTGTTTTGATTGTTGTTGAAAAGAAGGTGCCTCTCCCTACCTTGCGATGGCTCAGTGGTGCCTGGTTTGGGTGTCAATTGTCTTCATTACCATTAGGGCACTCCAACCCAAAATCTCATTTTTCTCATTAAAATGTGGTAGTTCATCACCAATGTAACTACATTTTTTTTTTTGCGCGCTTCTTTGCCAAGGTAATCATCTCTCCTATTTCGCACTCTTCTTTGCCAAGGTAATCATCTATCTCTTATTTCGCGCGCTTCTTGCGAAGCTAAGACCATCTCCAACCGAAAATCTCATTTTTCACTCCAAAATGCTGTGAAACTCATCTCCAATCGAACTCCATTTTATCCCCATTTGCGAAGGTAACAATATTAAAAAATTGTTTTAGAAAGCAGTAAAAAAATCACACCAAATGAGGCCTTAGCCTTGAATTAAGGTCATCAATATTAGTAGGAGAATTTTTCTTTGCATGAGGAATTAGATGTTTAACATTAAAAATATTAGAAGTTGGCAATTATAAGAAATAGGCATTTGGGTTAAGTTTGATGATAATTTTCAATGGAACCTTTTTTTTTTGTTGGACGTTTTTTTTTATTGCTTCTTAAAGCAACTTTTTAGTATAAAATTTTAATTTTTATATTAAAAAGTTGCTTTAAGAAGCAACAAAAAAGTCGACCCAAACGAAACCTAAATGATAAAAGTCATATATTTGATTGTAGATACTAGCAAATTTGTCTAATATTTACTTGTGTGGTAAGTTTGTAATAAGATCAAACAGGCAATTGGTGTGGATTTGGTGCAGTTGGAAATAGGAGGAAGTCAGGCAGTTCAAGAGAGAGAAGCCATTAACCATTTGAAATGGGCTGAATACTGTGGCCTGATCGAGTAGGTGGTTTTGGGCAATTTTTTACTCATAAAGTTTGAGATCCGATGATTTTGTTTGAGGCAACTTTTTTACTGACTCTTAAAGCAAATTTTTAGTACAAATATTTTTTTAGTAGAAAGCTGATATAGAAAGCAATAAGAAAATTGTCTCAAATGATGCCTAAAACAACATCAGCGATGCGGTTGCATGGAATGAAATGAACCTCTTTTGAAATATCATCTATCTAACCCAACCATTGTGAAAAGGATAGTGCTAATAGTTGTTTTTGCACATCATTCTTAAAAATTATAATTGGGTGGGAGGCTTGCTACCACCGTATTTGTGGAACTTAATGATGTCCCATTTCCAAGCACAAATGCATATGATTTCTTAGAAATGGGTGACATATAATATAAAATAGTATGAACATATGAAGGAGTCATGGTAAGAAATGTTCATCGGAAGTCTAATCCCATGAGACATTGAGCTAACAACAATAAAAGGGGAGCTACCAAAGAGAGTGGATAAGAGTCAAGAAACTCTATCAAAGAGTTTTATGATACAATGTTTGTTAGCAATTGATAGTTGGATTTTGTATATCCCAGCAAGCCTAAAAAACATATGCTATAGTTGGATTTTGTGTGGCCATAAGACCTCAAAACTATAAAGTCTCTAGGAAAATGAAATAATTTAATAACATGAGGAATTCTTGAGAAAGAATTAGTTGAGACATCTCAACATTTAGGAGGATACCGATACCATAGAGTTCGCACGTGCTAATGTCTAAAATGATTCTTGAACTTGAAGGTTGCATGACCTATTGTGAATGGGTTTGCAAAATGACATGTGGGCGGGTTGGTAGTTAGAGCAAATAGGGATGTAACATTTAAGTAGATTTGGACATGTTGTAGAGTTGACTTGATATCGTTGGATGACATATATGAGCAATTGGTGTGAGTGTGAGAGAAGCTCCATAGCTACCACTTCACAATTTTGATTCATACATTTGTATTAACATTTGGTTAGTTATTTTTTTTGTTTGATTTTATCTTACTTTATTCTCTTTTTTATGTAACTTGATAAATCAAGTTATAAATACTTTTGCATCTCAAAACTTCTAATAATTTCTTCTTTATGAACAATAAAGGAAATCATTATCATTTAAGCAAAAAGCTCAAAGTGCGAGAAAAAAGAAAGAGTATTTAAACCTCAATAAGCCTAGAAGTATATCAATAGTGGGCAACATAAGCTTGAAGTATATTAGGGGATCTATACATGGGAAAGTTTCATTGGTGAGTTCTTCTAGTAAAAACCTCTGGCCACATAGTGAATACTTTGAGCAAGTTGAGGAGTTTATTGGTCAATTAAGTAGTACTGATTAGTGGGCAGCTTCATGATTCCCTTAAGTTTAATGACTTAGGCTTCATTTGGGACGGCTTTTTCACTACTTCGTAAAGCAGCTTTTTAGTGCAAAATTTTAATTTTTTATTCTAAAAAATTGTTTTTAAGAAGAAGTAAGAAAGATGTCCCAAATGAAGTCATAGGCTTGCTCGAGATGCAAATTTGAATGATTCAAGCCTATAGGCTAATTTAACTTAATTGAATTCCAATTTACAAAAGCTTTAAACCAACTCATTATCAATGATTTATTGAACTAGATTTGTATCCTAATTTTTACTCGACTAACTTTATATAACATTTAAACATTTATATTTACTTACATATCACTATAATATCCACATCAAAATATTTGTATGAAAATGTACGATTTACTTTAAATAATTAAACTTCATGGTATTTTTGTTATGATTTAAAATTGTATTTGTTATATATATAAGAAAATATAAATATTTAGGTGTTAGATATATAAATATATAAAATTTTTGTGATGTGCATGTAAATGCCGCTTATATTTAAGTCATTTAGTATTTATATACATTCATATATATATACAATAATCTATTGATTTATTAAATCGATTTATATCCTTATTTTGACTTAATTAATTTAAACTAAGTGAATATAATTATATATTTTCATAGATAAATATATGTCAAAATATAAATTTATACTCAAAATTTTCTTTTCTATTATGGCTATTTCTTGTAAAATTAATAATTACAAATATTTAAGTCCTATCAGAATTAATCATATTTTCATAAATGTGATTAAAGGTAAAAATAATTAGGACCAAAAGCTGATTCTAACAATATTTTAAATTTGTATGACTAATTATTTCTCTCTCTCTCTCTTTATATTATTAAATTTTACCTTTTAATAAAGCTGAGTTTGAGCCTAAGGTTTGATTTGGAATATAACTTTTTTACAGCTTTCTAAGAAACTTTTTAGTTAAAATATTTTAGCTCAAAAATTTTTTGACCAAAAAATTAATCAATATTTTTTTTAAGGAACAAAACTGGCATGTTAACGATTTAAAGTATGTTACCTAATTAAAGGTGGCCACAACTACCTAACGTGAAGCTTGCATGGGAACTAAATGCATGGCGCAGCAACATTAATGGAAAATAAGTGATCGCACCGCTTGTAGTTGATCTGAAGGACGCCGGCGTTTCGGAGCTCGTCGGCTTCTCCGGCGACAGCCATAGCACCGAAGGCTGTCCCGCTTAGATCAAAATGAGCTAGCTCGGAGAGACAGGCGCCCCCCGGGCACTCATCGGTGATCACGACGGCCACCGGGTCGCCGGAGCAGGCGGCATTGCTGGTGCACTTTACCTTGTTATCATATCAATAGGAAAAATAATTATTTCAATAGAGAAGAATATTTTATATATTGTTAACATTATATTTTAATGCATATATACTAACGTTTAATACTAATTAAGATTTATGAATATGATTACTAGTTTTTGAATGAAGCCTACTAAAATAATAGATATAATTATATACTATTATTATTATAATAATTAGATTGATTGCTCAAAATCTGATGTAATCACTAATTTTTATCATTTGGAAATCAGGAAAAATTGACACATTCAGATTTCAAGTACTAATTAGATCCATTATTTTAATTTTCACATAAAAAATAGTACTAAGCAGATCTATTATTTTAGTAATCATATTATATTCTTAAAAATTAGTATTAATCGATTATCAATTAGAATTTAAAAAACTATATATTTTAAATAATAGACTAAAAATAATTGTGGGCTACCATAAGACCTTCCATTAATTTCCTCTAAATTTTATTACGAATGAGAACTTCTTTAATCATAATATTTGATTAAAGTATGAGAAACGAGCATTTTTTTATTAGATTTAGGTTTCATTTGCGACAGTTTTAGACAATGACTAATTTTTTTGCTGCTTTTATTGAATTTTTATGTTAAAAATTTACTTTTTAAGATAATAAAAAGTCGTCCAAATGATAAAGTCTTAAATGAGATTTTAATTTTTGATAGAACGTAACAATGGAGAAAAATGATTCATATATCCTATAATGAGAGAAATTATTTTGTGAGGATACTAACACCATTCGGAGGCGTCGGAGACGAATCAAAACACGTCACGTCAACCATTTGTTGTGTACCGTTGCTGTGTACCGGATGACGTGACACATTCTGATTTGTCTCCAGACAGTCCGGTGTCCGCACAGAATAATTTCTCCTATAATGAAGACTTGATGTTGTTTTTGCTCTGAATAAGAAAATAAAAACATAATGAAACTTTGAAACACAAAGGAGTGTTTTCTTAGTAAATTACTTGGTAACAAGCTCCGCAGCCCTCTCCAGATTTAAAGAGAGAAGGGCTCCCTGCAGCTATCATGGAGGAAAATGGAGCCGACTCTACAGCTTTTCCATACCCGCATGCTCCTCCTGTTTGTTCTCAAGCATTAAATTAACATGATCAGCCTAACAATGAAAATTGATATAAATATTATTAATTATCTCTGCTAATTAATTAATTTATACCATCGCTGCCGAAGCCATTGCGATCTCCATACCAAGTAGCTCCACCCGAAGACCATTCAGAGGAGAGAGTAGTAAAGCAAGAAGAGAGTTGAAGAAGAGATAGAAGACACAGTAGAGATAGAAAGAGAAGATCAGCCATATATTGCTAATTATTTGCAGTAGAAACAGAAGAGAGAGAAAGAGAAGAGCAGCCCGATTTGAAGGAAGCTAATGGATTATAAATCGCAAAGTCAGAAGCTTAGAATTTATAGGCAAACATAGAGAGAGTTATAATGGCTAGGCTGAGCTGATCAGCCTTAAATGTCTACGCTGGACTTTCGCGCGGGAGAAGGAAACGGTTTTACCGGTTACCCAACGGCGGCCTCATTGATGACGTGAGGGTCGTGCGAGCACCCGCATAGACACTGTTTATGATGACACGTTATCCACCGTACGTTTTTGCGAGATCATAGATTGAACGCTCGATTAGGGGAAGTTTGCATGCGGTCGTGACCTCCGTGGCCTTTTGGTGGGCCAACATGGGCTGAGGAGGAAGGATCCATTTTCTTGTGGCTGGGCCGATCCCGTTAATCCAGCAGTTGATGTCCTAGTGGGCCCCACGCATAAATGGGGCCCGCTTTTTTCGGTTAACAAAGTCGTACGAATAGACTGGGAGAGGTAGGTTAATCGTTAATGGGGCCTATATTTTTGGCTGGAATTATGGGCTGATTGTTTAAAATGAAGGCCCGTCAACTGATTGGTAAACCAAGTCTCTATCATTTCCATTTTTATAGTAGTAGTTTTTTTTTTCACGCAGGATAATTTGATGAGGTGGTGAAATAAAAAAATAAAATAAAATCTAAGCTTTTGATTGCACGGTGAGGATTTTTTCTTCTTCTTCAAATCTAAAAGAAAAAAAAAAAAAAAACATAACCCTTCATTTAACTCTTTGTAGAGTGCTAAAAAATTTATAGTATTAGTTTTTTTTTCTTTATCCATCTTTCTTTGCGGGAAGCGGAATCCCCGCAATCATGGAAAGCAATAAAAAATGACACCTCATCATTAAAAAGGCCTACAAAATAATGTGTGTGAAATGAGTCCTACTCTTTCGTTGTGTAACTTCGGCCTCTCAAAAGATAAGGGACCTAAGCCAAGCCCATTTTGTACGAAGGTTTAGCACACATCTATACTAATATATAAGTGCGTCTTGTTATTCTTCTCGTAACAAATCCTGCTCATCTTCCCATTGGTCTCATCTTTCTCTTCAAATACATGCATAAACACTTTATTAATATATGATTTACTTCATTATTTTCTTAGTAACTTTTTTTAATTTATAAATTTATCCTAATTTCTTGTTTTTTTACTTATTCAAATGATTTTATTTTTGTACCGGTTGATTAATTAGCATATAGATTTTTGTTTTGGTATAGATATGTATTTCAAATATGCGATTTGTTGATTTGAATATTGAACATTAATGTTAATTTTATAAATTCATTGAGAAATTTATTGTTTTTTTTTTCCTTCCAAAACCTTCATTTGTTCATCGAATTGATGTAATAGGATAAATCCCACTCTATTTGGTTCATTAATGCATGTATCAGTGTATTTAATTATAGTTTTTTATTATTATCATTTTCTCTTATTGAATAGAAATCTTATAATTATCAAATTGATAATCAAGTTATTTATTTGATTTTTGATCTATAGATATTAAGCTTATTTTTGAAAATATTTTTTTTCATTATTCTAATTCTTTGACTATTATACTCATTTATATTTTGTTTTATCTGAAAATTGATTTATATTGAAAAACTTTATTGATAAGTATTATTTCTCTTGCTAATTCACTATTAATCTCATTACTATTACACATGCATATTTCTTGTCAAAAGTTAATTTCAAGAAATATTTGTAAGATTGTAAAATTTCATTATTGATGAACTGTTCATTTGTGACTGATTTAAGATAAATTTGCTATCTCTATTATCCTTTTTAATTTAGCATATCAATATGAGGCCATAATGTCATATTTATAATAAAATTTTAAATTTTTCTTCTAAATATGTATTGTTTGTTTTTATGACATTATTTTAAAAATACATATTTATTTTTATATTGAATTGTAAATTATATTAATATATTCTAACTATTATGATTGTAACAAAAATATCTAACTCTTCATGAATATAACTACTAATTATAATTATTTATAATGATTAAATTAATATTTTTCTTTTTTAGTATGATAATATAATTAAAATACGTATAGGAAATCATTTTTTGCACCCCTTCTCACACAGCTCATGAAGCTCTAGCTTGCAATTACCTTAACCCCTGCGGTGCTGGCCGCTGCATTTGCCGGTCTCTCATAGTCACGGAGGCGAAGAAGTTGCTCTTCACTGATTCACCCACCTTCGGCCCTCCGTGGTCGGAATGGCAGTGATTTGATGAAATTCCTTTCTTTTCTTAATGACTTATCTAGTGTTTCCCCGGTTGTGGCCTTCCCAAGCTCAAATCCACTACTTGTCATGGGCTTCCTTCTTTTCGGATCTCGGAGGAGGAGATCTTAGCTCTTGCAGCTCCACTGGTATTTGTATTGGTTGGTAAATTTCCTACTCAACGCCCTTCTCTTGATGCTATTCAAAAGCTTTTATTCAATTTTAAGCTCATTGGTGAATTTTCTGTGATCCTTCTGAACTCTTCACATATTTTGATTAAACTTGTTAATAATTTAGATTATATATGGGTTTTCTCTCATAGATCTTATTTTATGTTATCTACTACATGAAATTGACCAAATAGTCTTCTTTTTTTTATATTGGTGTGGATTCTCCCGTCATTCCCACATGGGTGTCTTTCCCTAACTTGTGCCCTCTCCTTTTCTCCCCCCCCCCCTGTATTCTTCATGGTCTTGGATCGTTGTTTGGTTGTTAATTAAAATTGACCATGATACAGCTTATGGTTCATGTGCCTCTCTTGCACATGTTCTGGTTAAACTATACATTACCAAAACTTACCCTGATCGGGTGTGGTTAGGCCCAGAAAAATTGGTCTACTTTCAACATGTTGAAATGAAAGTTTTTCCTGCTTTTTGTGTTCACTATAAATCCATTGGACATATAAAATCCGAGTGTAGTGTTCTTCATCCCCATTTATTTATGGGTCCTGTGCGAGCCTCAGACCCTGTGGTTCCCTCTTATGGAAATTGTGAAAAATACGGCTAATGCTACTTCCAATTATGTTCAATCAAACACTGATGTGGTGACTATTGTGGTTGGCTCTAATGATAATGTTGTCGTTTTGGATGAAGGGAATAATATAGCTAATGAGCCTTCTAAGGGTGGTAATAATGTTATAGTTGATAATATTTTTGCCTTACCTAGTTTCAATAATTTTTACAGTACTCTCATTAAGTCACCTCATTTAGATTCGTTGGATTTTACGGGTGAACAAGTAATTGTGAAAGAGATAGC